AGTGATATTCAAACAAAGGATATTAAATCTTCCATCATCTCATTTTCAGTTAATTTTTATGTATCCATGTTTATCCTAAGCTATAGAAGTCTGAAAATTGGTTAATTACAAGAAAATTAAAGTCTTCAAGTTGAATATCTGTTGTAATGAGAAAAATTAATCCATAGATGTTTCTGAGCTATAAAACTGACAATAAAAAGCAAACAATTTATCTGCAATTTAGGAATTTAAATCCATGTTATTCTAAGTGCACAGATGTAAAATAATTAACTATATTAGTAAAAACATACTCCAATACTCAACTCTTGATTGCCATTATGACCAGCTGTTACTCAAAACGACTGAATTTTCTTCTGTGTTATCCCTCTGTGTTTAGAGGCAGAAGAACACACAAGTTGTTCTTTCTGTATTAACGACTTAGGAGTGCAAACATTTTTTAATGGACATGAGGTGAGAAAATAGTTCTATGTGTAATGCCAATGATTTCTCAGTATCTTCTGAATACTCTTAACTATTCTATAGTAAATGCTTTGGCCCCTTTGCCTGCTTATTCTACTTAATTCACACCTCTCCCCCCGCCCAAAAAAAATAGCCCTTTCATCACTTGCTCTCACCTCCAACTCTGTGTAGCTAAAAGTAGATTTTTTTTTATTTTCCCTTTAAACCATATTTCTCTCTGAATACCCTATTCCCACTAATGGCACCATATTCTTTCAGTCATTTAATCCTGAAACCCCCAAAGATTTCCATGAGGTTGAGAAACATGGAAAGGCAGTTAATGTGTGCACTCCCCATCCCCAATTACTGGCAATGGAATTGCTCAATTTCTCTGTCCCTCTAGCTCCCCCTCTGTAAAATGAGGGTTCTATTCATACTTTCTTTATAGGGTCAGAAGGAGGATTCAATGAGTAAATACATTCAAAGGGCTTAGAAGAGTGCGGGGCACATGTTAAGCCTCAGTAAACACTCGCCACAACTATCATCTTTCATCTTCCATACCAACACGCTTACCGGATGCCTCTTACTTTTGCTTCTACCTTTCCAGCCTCAAAGCCCTTTTTGGGCCCAGGCCTCTCTGCATTCATCCACTTCCTTGTCTTTGTTGTGACTCATTGGTTTACTTATGTATTTATTCCCGGGATACTGCCGGGGGGGGGGGGGGGGGGGGGATTACAATAGGCCAGGAACTGTTTAAGCCCTGGGACTATAACAGAGAGGAAAGCAGATCTGGTCTCTGCTGCCATGGAATTAATTAGTTAGTTCCACAGAACTAATGATCTAGTGCAGGGGTCAGCTGACTGTGTCCTGGGGCCAAATCTGGCCCACCATCTGTTTTTGTTAATATAGTTTTATTGGGATACAGCCACACCCATCCACTTGTAGATTGCGACTGCTTTCAGTAGTGGCAGGGTTGAGTCATTGCAAAAAAGTCTTTATGGCCCATAAAGCAAACTGTAAACTGGCAAAGTTTGCCAACTCCTGTTCTAGTGGTAAAGATAGAATAAGATCCTACTAAAATTAAACTTCCATCAGTATAGAGTTTATTGTTACATCATGGAGTCATCCCATACCTACATATGAAATTACTATTCTTCAAATATGCCTCATCATTCTCATCATTCTCCATACGTCTGTCACTGAAAAGTTACACTATCTCGGCCTGTTACTCAAAGCCCTTGACCTCCAGTCTCCTCTTTCAGCCTAATCTACTGCCTCGCCCTCTGCACTCATTCATGTAGGCAAATCTCACTGCAGAAGCCTCTCCAGAACTCACTAAAGTTGCTTAGGCATCCTGCCTGTGGATTCCCATAGTCCTCAATTTAGCACATGTCACAGTGTAACCTCGTCTGCTTACTAATCGGATCCCTCCAACAAACAGCAAGTTCATGAGGCCAGAAATGGGGTCTTATGTGCTGTGGAATCCTCAGTGCTAAGCACAGTGGCAGACACTTAGCATGTACAAATATATGGCGTGGGGCAAAAGTAGGTTTACAGTTCATATAAAAAATAATACAGTAATTAATAGATATTAATGCAAGAATAAACTCTGTATTTTGCATGTTCAGAACTGTAAACCTACTTTTGCCCCACCATGTGCGTGCGTGCATGCGTGCATGTGTGCGTGTGTGTTTGGTTTAAATGAATTAATATCTACCTCTCTTTTTTTTTTTCTACTTTTTCCACTTATGGGCATGCCACCTCTATACATCCTTCTCCAAAACCTACTCTTCTTCAGGACAGGGTAGTATATATCATTACCCAAAGTGGAGAATAATGAAAGATGATTTGAGACTACATGTCACAGTGTTCTAAAGAAGCAAGGGAGGAAAGAAAAAGAAAAATCTGTGCTTGTACAAAATCATTCTGACAAAAAAAAATCTTTTAAAGTCTAATGTAAAAAAAAGTAGTATATGATATTTAAAAGTGATTTTCTAAATCTTTGTAGATATAGGGGGTTTCTTGAAAGCTAAAAATTCTAAGAGAAATCTTATGAGGACTTATTTATCATTTTTCAAATAAAATTATGGTATCTGTATTATTATATTGCTTAATGTGATTTAAGCTATATTTAACATAAAAATATTTTATCATGGCCATGACTGTCTATAATGCAATGGGATTTTGTTCTTAGCTTTGTTTTTTTTCCCCCAGAAGATAAAAATGAACCACTAGATGGTGCAATCATCATGAAAAAGTCATCACATTAGAATTTAAAATATTTTATATAAAAATTCTTTAATAAGAATTAAAACTAGTTTTTATTTATTTTATGAAATTGGTAGGACAGTCTATTTTGTATAAAATGTCTTTACATATTTTATGCCTTCTGATTGTCAAACAATAATCAAAATCATTATGTAATTTTGTAGAAGGTTAATTTTACATTTTTCTCCGTTTTGGAAAACCTTATACAACTTTTCAAAGTTGTATTTTGCATAACTATTACATACACATACACAAAATGGCAACCAACAGACGTGTCTGAGGATATTGCCATTTCCTTAAATAGGATGTTTGTATGGCTCACGGTGAAGGAAGATTTCTATGCTTATTGTATCTATGTGCCTGTGCCTCTATTTGTAAGTTCCTGATAGAGAGAATCTTTGTTTTCAAACCCTCCTAGAGCCACAGTCCAACAGTGCGTTGGTGAACATGTGGTGTGATGTTATGTTCTCATCCTGAGTTCCTCCCCATGCTGGCTTCTGGATTCCGGCCGCATTCTCTGTGCGACTCACTGGACTCCTCAGCATATGCTGCCCAGCGGTGCTTTCCCCCAGCACACCTCCTCTCAGCTGGCAGAGTCACACCTTACACATCTGTGCATGCTATGCATATAGTAAACACTAAAATAAAAATGAGGAGAAGGAGGAGGGGCAGGGGAGAAATTTTGGTGAAGCATAATTTTGATTAAACTGCCCTATACTAAAAGAAAACATAAAAAAGAAAAGAAAAAAGAAAACATAAGAATTTGAGATCAGTATGTTCTTGATAAATATGTGTAGGTAGACACTGAATCATTTTTATTTTAATAAATGGGTCTATAAAGAATAAGAAGCTTATAAAAATGTTCCCTATTTTCGATTATATACGCACCTATTATTTCAGGAGCATTCTCATTCGCTGAAATGGGAATGTCAATTGGTACAGTTATTATGGAGGGCAGGTTGGAATATATATCCAAGCCTAGAAGTCATGATGATATTTGAATTTATCCCAGGGTTGCACAAAGATTTAGCTACGAGACTTTGATCAAACTATTGTTTGTAGAATGTGAAAATGTTTAAACATATCTCAAAAGTGGCAACAAAAATGAAGTGTATTTCATCCATTCAGTGAAATAATATTCAACTATTACATACAAAATTGTGAGAGGAAAGTTAATGAACAGGGGAAGTCAGTTGAATTTTCTGCTTTGACTCCATTAATAGACACTTTAATTCACAAATACACTCTCATTTCACTGATTCGAAGGGCCCACTTCAAAATACTAATAGCACTCCAGTCTTCAAGACTAAATCCAGCACCGCCAGTGGCATGGATGGAAGGCCTCTGAAGGAGGTGTGCGCGATCTGCTACTGCTCTCTCCCCAGCCTGTGCCCCACACCACATCCTGGAAGGCGCTTCCTTGACTCACACTGTTGCCTGACAGTTCAGTGCTCTCTGGGCCTAATGGGGATTTATTAGTAAACCTAACCCTTTCTCTTACGTGCCCTTAGCATAAGGTGACCAGATTTAGGGGGGCAAGAGGAGGAATACAGAACATTCAGATAATTTTGAATTGCAGATAATAATTTTTAGCATAAATATCACTCAAATATTATATGGGGCATACTTATAATAAAACTTATTCATTATTTACCTGATACTTGAATTTCATTAGATGCCCTGCATTTTATCGGGCAAGTCTACCTTTAGTGGGTCCAACTGAGACTCCCCTGCTGGGCTCCTCCCAAGATCACTCTCTCAACCCAGACAAGGCCTCTCTTCACACTGGGTGCTCCCTGGTACCCCTCAGATCCTGTTCTAGTCATTAAGTGACTGCCTCTTGCTGCCAAGTTCTCTTCAGCACCAAGATACCCTCTGGGCAAGATCCCTTTCCTGTGTCCCCAAGCTGAGCCTCTCCCAGAGGGCCACAACCCATCCTGGGATTTGCTACCATTTGCCTCATCTCTGGAGGGGTCTGCAGTTTCTTCTGCAGCCCACGACCTGGGCCTGGGTGTCAACAATGGCACAGAACACATCTCAAGGGGAAGTTCTTTTCTCAAGGCTGAAGGTTAGGAGGCAGCAACTCCATTCACAGTCTTCCTCCTTGGGGCGAAGAGAGGGACTTAACAATGCTGCTTTGTCCAAAGAAATGATTCTTGTAAAATTCTCTCTTCATTTCCGTGCCCTGAACCTTTTAAAATCCTTGATGTGGAGTGCAATAGTCCCATAAGCAGTCATTAGCTCTGTTCTTTGTCAAGTGCTCAAATCGTGCTGTCTTCTTTCTCAACCTACAGCTGTGACTGCCCCACTGGGTGGAAAGGAGCCTTCTGCACGGAGACAGTTTCCACCTGTGACCCTGAACATGACCCTCCACGCCACTGTGGCAAAGGATCAACTTGTGTCTCGTTGCCTCATGGGTACACCTGTTCCTGTCCCCTGGGAACCACTGGAGTCCACTGTGAACAAGGTAAGGCCGAATTTCAGCTCATGCTGTCCACAAATTAACTAAGTCAGTTTCCTTTGGGAAAAGTAAAATGAAGTATATATGATAATAAAAGATTCTACTCTCTTTTCCCCCCATATATGTGACATTATAGTTCACAGATAAGAGAGTCCTCACAGTTCAGTAGTACAAAAATAGGGCTTTGTTTTCAGAATTGTTGTAGTTTATTAACTCTAAGCCCCCTGTCTCTTTAACCTAAACATTCTAGCTGTTTTATGCTAAGTGCAGTCCAGTCAAGTGAACTTGGGTTCGTAACTCAATTTCAGAACAAGGCTCCATCTTTGATCTTCTCCCTTCTGTACCTCCCACTGACACGAAACTCTCAGGAGTAGCAAGAGGAAGATGCGTCAGCTCTGGCTCAAAGGGAGAGAAGTTTGAGGGATGAAATGGCCCAAGTCCAGTGGGAATGATAAGGAGTTTTCAATGTTCCAGATCTCATCAGCTTTACTGTTCTTCCTTATACCTATGATTGATAATATCCTTAACACTGGGACGAGTTATGGCAGTGCCTTTGAGTGCTCCCCACAGTCTCCTGAGTGCTCCCCATATGGGCTTGGCTAGTGCTAAGCATAAGTATAGAATACAAACTCTATTATACATATCAACATAATAGTTCTAAAATAGTAAAAATGGATTGGGGCAATTTTTAAGAAATAGTTTTTTTATTTTAGTGAACAATAAAGTACTCCAGCTTACCTCTATAACTTCCATAGGAATAGCTACTAGAACCTGAGAGAAATAATAGGACAAGTTAATATAAGGACTAGTGATAGTAACAATAGGGCAAACCAGATTTTTGAAGTTTAAAGGCACAATAGGTCATCAGCAAAAACACTCTATTTTCTAGATGATCGCAGTCCCTCCTAATAGCCATTCCTTTAGTAAATATAACATAGGAACCAACAATGTAGAGGTAACATTTTATCAACAACAACCACACTCCAGTGGCCTAAGAAAGCATAACCACTAAAAGCCAAATATCTTCAAAACCAAAATTTGTCTTTAAATGAGTTGTCAAACATTAGGTTGAAAAGAGCCTTAAAAACCACTTAATCCTAATTATTTTACCTTGAAAGAGGTTAAGATCAAAACTGTGACTGAGCAGGACTGAGGGAGGATTTTCACACCGCCAACCCAGTGAGTTTCACATTACCCCATGAAACCTCCAGCTTTTACATTTTGTGTGACGCCAGCTTTTATATTTTTACTATGGGCTCAGTGAACGAATTCGTGCACCTTGAAAGGAACTGTGGGCCACGAGGCTGCGGTGGGCACAGGGACAGGTCTCAGCCCATCCTCCATGCCCCCTCCCACCACGGCCCCTGGTCCCCTGTCTGCCCACAGCCCCACCCCCGCTGCACCCACCCGCTGATGGTGCCAGCCCCACTCGCACCCGCTAACAGTGTGGAGCTATTGGGGCTGGCGCCAGCAGCAGGTGCAAGTGGCAGCTGCTGCCCTGATCACCCCTCAGGAGCAGAGGGAGGTGGAGAAGCCCTCAGGGGCAATTGGGAATGGCAGCCACTGCTCACACCCACTGACGGCGCCAAGCGATCAGGGCCAGCAGCATGTGCAAGCAGTGGCTCCGGTGCTGGCAGCGGGTGCAAGCAGGGCTGGAGCAGGGTGGGACCCTGGCACACGGGAGCAAAGAATTTTCAGTAACCACCAGAGGCTTGCCCCAATGACAGTGACTGGCACCCTGCCTTGGTCTGGCACCCCCGATCACCTGCTCCACCATCCTGCAGTGGCCAAAGCCTGCCATGTTCTGTGCACGTCCCCTGGTGGTCAGCACAGGTCATAGTGACTGGTTGTTCAGTTGTTCGGTTGTTCCGCTGTTCGGGCTATTTGCATATTAGCCTTTTATCATATAGGATTTCATAATCAAAATATAAAACCTAGCCATCACATGAAATAAGTGGAAATTTGTGCAATCTGTGGTATGCAGAATTGATTAATAAAATGTCCTTGTCCCCATATTTTAAATTGTCTAAAGTATTTTAAAGTATGTGTATGTGTCTGAGAAGAGAGTGGCTGGGGGAAGTTTTTTATACTAGCATTCTAATTTAAGTAGTAAAATATTATTTTATCTACCCCTTACTCTAAGATTGACTTGCCATTGGGAAAAAAAGTGATCCTTCAAGTCCCTTAAAACATTCACCTACAGCATATTTTCTTTCACTGGGATCTCACCCCAAACTTCTTTGGAATTCCATGAGGTATGGTGCTGTGGTAATAAAATGTCAATAGACCACTTGAACCCGATGGCATAAAGGATCCTAGCCACCAAAAACGATTCAAAATATCTGAGCCTAGTTCCAGAAATACATGAATTCACAATTGTCACATTGTCCGACCCAGGAACTAGCTCAGATAAGTGTTTTTAAACACCCAGAAGCCCTAAACCAGCTTTAAAAATGAAACTGAAGATGAAGAATGCTTGTCAGCAAGCAGCAGCATCTGGGTTGGATATTTCACAAGGACTGTTGATCTTAAATTAAAAATAAATCATAATAGGTTAAACAGGGGTAGAATATTTTGCAATCTAGCTTAGTCATTAAAACATTCAATTTAGGCAGAATTCTGGTTTACGATTATTTTCTGAAATAGAAAATATGTCCCATTTCTTTTCTCACACACAAATTCTGCCCATTTGCTCTTTTCTTCTGTGTTATTGCTCTTTCCTGCTAGAATTTATTAGTTCCAACTACACATATAACATTCCTGGGTCGTACAATCTCTCCTCTCCATTTATTTTTCCCCACATTATTGGTGAATTGCTTTTTTTCCTTGGAACAGTTTTATACTACTAAATTCTAGCTCTTGCATATCGTTGACATTTAGCCAAATGAGATTCCATAATATGTGTGGTTTTAACTTTCAGCCTACCAAGTACTGAAAATGTTTCCATTTTTCTTACATTCTTTTCATCCATGGTGCAATTTTCCTTCCATTCATTTCTCATTCCTTAAGGTAAAGAAACCCATGCACATACTGGCATTTTGAATGAAACAGGCACATGTTTAAGGTACTTAGTCCCTTGATGTCAAGGGTACTTTATGGTTCAGTTACCAGTGGTTCTCAACCTTCCTAATACCGTGACCCTTTAATACAGTTCCTCATGTTGTGGTGACCCCCAAACCATAAAATTATTTTCGTTGCTACTTCATAACTGTAATTTTGCTACTATTATGAATCGTAATGTAAATATCTGATATGCTATATGTGTTTTCCGATGGTCGCAATCCACAGGTTGAGAACCGCTGAATTGCCCTAGTTTTCATTGCAATTAATTCAAGCTCATGGAGAAGTTCAATTCTTCAAGCCTTCCTGACACATGGGGTACTCTCCTGCCAAGCCTTTGGTCTTCCTAATAATAGCAAAATGGGTCCATGGCACTATAAATGGAGCTTTCAAAAATCATTACTGTGTGCCTGTTTTCCTTTTGTTATTGTTGTTCATCCTCACCCAAGCATATTTTTTCCTTTGATTTTAGAAAGAGTGGGAGAAAGGGGGAGAGACAGAGAAACATTGAGGTGAGAGAGACACATTGATTGGTTGCCTCCTAAACTGCCCCAACCAGGGCCAGGGATTGAGCCTGCAACCAAGGTATGTGCCCTTTAGCAGAATCAAACCTGAGACCCTTCAGTCCACAGGCTGATGCTCTAACTACTGAGCAAACCGGCTATAGCTTTTTATATATTTTTTAATTGTTTTCCAAGAGAGGAAGTAAGAGGGAGAGAGAGAGAGAAACATCAATGATGAGAGAGAATCATTGATCAGCTGCCTCCTGCATGACCCCCACCAGGGATCGAGCCCTAAACCCGGCCATGTGCCCCAAAAGAGAATCAAACTGTGACCTCCTGGTTCACAGATCAAGCTCAACCACTGAGCTATACCGGCCAGGCTGTGTGACGGTTTTCAGGTGCATTTAGCCATGTGGGAATGCACCTGCTTTCTTTATAGAAAAATAAAAACAGCTTTAGTCTTTGTTTCCCCACTTTCAATCCCATTGTGATGATTACCAGGAATCCTATATAATAAAACCCTAATATGCAAATTGACCAAACAACGGAATGACCAGTTGCTATGATGCACACTGACCACCAGGGGGCAGACACTCAACGCAGGAGTGTCTGCCCCCTGGTGGTCAGTGTGCTTCCACAGGGGGAGTGCCACTCAGCCAGAAGCCGGGCTTATGGCTGGCAAGCACAGCGTCGGTGGCGGGAGCCTCTCCCGCCTCCATGGCAGTGCTAAGGACCCCTTGGGGGATGTCCGCCTGCCAGCTTAGGGAGCGGGCTTAAGCCGGCAGGTGTACATCCCCCAAGGGGTCCCAGACTGCAAGAGGGTGCAGACCAGGCTGAGAGACATCCCTCCCCCCACCACCACCACCCTGGATGTCGTGCACCGGGCCTCTAGTGTGATTATATGTGTACTAGATCCTCTATTCCTACAGTTTTATAATACTTTTTAAAAGTAAAAAATAAATGGGCACTAGTTATGATTCCTAGGAACACACATTTTAATTTCTTAGTCTTCTTTCTATGCTTCTCAATACAACCTGCTAAACTATAAGTGAAACTCAGTGAGAAAGTAAATTATATGTAACAATGCTAAAGGTTATATAAACATTATGCTTTTTTAAAACATATTTTTATTGATTTCAGAGAGGATGGGAGAGGGAGGGAGGGATAGAAACAAATGATGAGAGTAAATCATTAATCGGCTGCCTCCTGCACGCCCACTATTGGGATCAAGCCCAAAACCCAGCATGTGCCCTGACTGGGAATCAAACCATGACCTCCTGGTTCATATGTCAACACTCAACCACTGAGCCACACCAGCGGGCAACATTATGGTTTTTGAGTATTAAAAGGAATAGATGTTGCTAGTGAGTCTTAGAAAAAAATATACACAACTGTCATTTCCTAACCTTGGATCTTGGGCAAGTAAACTTAACTTTCCTGAAT